AGTTTTCTTGTGATGTCTTTAGTTGGTAATGCTAACTTCATTGAATGAGTTGGATGTGTTTCTTTTTCTTTTTCTCTGTGTGTGTGTGTGTGTGTGTGTGTGTGTGCGCGCGCGCGCGCGCGCGCACGCACACACCCTATAACCTGTGTTGGGTATTGAACCCAAAGGCACTTTACCACTGTACTACATATTCAACCCTTTTTATTTTTTTATTTTGAGACCAAGTATCTCAAAGTTGCTTAGTGCCTCACTAAGCTGCTGAGGCTGGCCTGGAACTTACTATCTTTCTGCCTCAACTTCCTGAGTTGCTAAGATTACAGGCATGTGAAAGTGTTTCTTATCTTATTTCTGTAAGAGTTTTTGAAGGATTTTTTTTTCTAAAATATTTTATGACATTCACCCATGAAGCCACCTGGGTCTCTATCATTGAGATGAGATTTAGAATTTCTGATTCAATTTTTCTATTTGCTTGAAGTCTCCCTGAGAATGGGCACCTGCTTCTCCTAGCAAGTTGGATCCTTATAGTTAGGGAGATTCTTGTCCTACTAGCAGGGATTAAGTTAATCAAGAGCTTGTTTATAAACCCTCACTTTGTTTCTCTCCCTTCTCTGGTACTTATCTTGCTGTTTTCCACTCTTGCCCACTCCACCTTTTTCTTAATTTCTTAATTTGAGTTTATCCCTGGGTTCAGATTTCACCCCATATGCTTTCCTTAGATAATATCAGCCTTTCCTGTATGTAAGGGGTCTAAAGTCTTATTTCTGGGCCAACAGAGATTCCTATTTTCTCTTAGATATGCCCCACTATAACCTGTTCAAAATGAAAACCTTGACCTTACCCTCAACCCTGATCAACCCTGGTGCGCCCCATCTTCATCATGTAGCTCTTACTTTCCCAATTACTCATTCAGAAACCCAGCAGTGGGTTTTGGAGGGGAGAAAGATGAGAGTCACTGATTTCTTCTTCTTCCTCTCAACAGCTAAGGCATGACTTAGATCTCCGACCCCTATTTTAAATCCAGTTCTCTCCTCTGCCTCCACTCTAGTCCACATCATATCTTTTTTTTTTAATTGTAGATGGATAGAACACATTTATCTGTTTTTATTTTTATGTGGTGCCAGAGATTGAACCCAGTGCCTCACACATGCTAGGTAAGTGCTCTACCACTGAGCCACAACCCCAGCCCCAAATCATCATATCTTTCTTAGAACCTGGATTACTACAGTGGTCTCCCTATGTCCACCCTTTCACCCGCTGCAGTCTCTAGTCAGCAGAATAACCAGAGTGGAATTATAAAGTTGCAAATCAAATTATAGCATGCCAAGACCCCTGCAGTGGCTCCCCAGGGCCTCAGGCCCTGTTCATTGGGGATGATTTGGGGGTCAGTTGAGACACATCTCCCCTAACAGATAGGATGTGTGGCCCCAGGGACAGAGGGTTTGGGGGTACTTAGCCCCTCCATTCCAAGCAGAGTTCTCCCTAATTCTTTGTATAAGATTTGTCTCATCATATCCTCCCAACAGCCTGATTGAAGAGACGTTTTATAGATGAACAAACTAAAAGAGGAGTAGACCCATTTAATGTCACTCAACAAATGGCCAAAAAATATCAATAGGTAACAAATTGTGATATGTCCAAATTAAGCAATGAAAGAAACAGACTACTGATACAACCACATGGATGAATCATGAAATTATGATGCTCAGTGAAAACAGCCAGGCAGCAGAGTATATGCTGTATGATTCCATTTATAAAACTCAACTGGGCATGGTGGTGCACACCTATAATGGCAGCAACTAAGAAGGCTGAAGCAGGAGGATCACAAGTTTGAAGCCAACATGGGCAACTTAATGAGAACCTGTCCCAAAATTCAAAAAATAAATTAAAAGGGCTGGGAATGTAGCTCAGTGGTAAAGTACCCCTGGGGTTAATCCTCAGTACCACACACACACACACACACACACACACACACACACACACACACAGTACACACTGTGTATATGCAAGATATTGAATGTCAAATATGACTCAGAAGCAGCAGAACACTGATTCTCACTATGGCTCCTGGGTCCCCAAGGTCTGCTCTGTCATTTCCCAAGTACAGGAACCTCTTCTGACCATATGGGGCTTTGGGTCCCAGGGTGGAGGTCTGGCTGGGATGATAAAGTGACCTGTGGGCTCCAAATGCATTGTTTCTCCATGGTGTKAGGATCAGCTTCTGTGCTGGAGTCTGGGTGTGTGGAACCCGATCACTGGTCCTCTCACATGGGTGAACTTCAAGATCCTTCTTTTGTCATTTGACACAGACATGTGTCTTGATGTTGCATAGTCTTGCTGTTTTGCAGTTTCTAATTCCTCTATGCATATGCACATGCCTACCCCAAACATACCTCCACATATCACATAAACGCAGAAATATGCCTCATAATTCTGCTTTGCTAAACCAAATCCCCACTTTTTACTTTCCTATTGACATTTTCCTTGTTCTCCTGCCATTTTTATCAGTAGCCTCCACTTGTTAACACAATATACTATCTTTATTTCTTCCCATGTTCATGCAAACCATCTGTTTATACATGTCTGCATATCCATATTTGAAAGCTTTTTTCCATCTTCTCCATACCTTCTGCCAAGTTTTAATCCATCCATCCATCTATTTATGTATTTATTTATTGGTAATAGGGATTGAAACCAGGGGCACTTAACTACTGAGTCACATCCCTAGTCCTCTTTTTTTTTTTTTTTTTTTTTGAGACAAGATCTCACTAAATTGCTAAGGTTGACCCCTAATTTGCAATCCTCCTGCCTCAGTCTCCCAAGTCTCTGTGGGATTACAGGAGTGCACCACCATGCCCAGCTATTCATTTTTAAAACCTTGTCATGTCCCAGGGTGTATTTTTCTGCCAGTGAACCTCAGATGAGTTTCTCTTTTTTTCCAGATTTGGGTCATTTGATTTTTTTTTTTTTTTAAGATTTATTGCTTTGCTAGCAAAGGAGAAAAACAGGGGATTCCTGTCCCCAAAGGCTGTGATTCTCTTTTTTTTAAAAGAGAGAGTGAGAGAGAGAATTTTTTAATATTTATTTTTCAGTCTTCGGCGGACACAACATCTTTGTATGTGGTGCTGAGGATCGAACCCGGGCCGCACGCATGCCAGGTGAGCGAGCTACCGCTTGAGCCACATCCCCAGCCCCCATTTGATTTTCTTGAAAGATTTTATGGTTTTGTTTTTAACAAATCATTATTTAAATCCAGTTAGAATTGTTTTCAGCTGTTTTTATTTATTTATTTATTCTCCAGGCAGCAATAAACAAGTTAAGCCTCCTCATTTGTTAAAAATCCCCTTTCCATATTTGATGGAACTGTTGTTTTGGATGTATATTCCTTTTTGTATATATTTGACCTGATTCTAGGTTTTCCTGTCCTTTCAGTAGACCCTCTATTACCCCTTCTGGGCCAACTCATTCTTTCTCACAATTTTCTTGCTATTCTTAAACAAATATTCTTCCCTGTAAATTTTAAGATTATTTTTATTCCCTTCAAAAAAAACACTATTAAGAGTCTAGTGGATTCTAATGCATTACATTTATGTATCTTAAGAAAATTGATTTATTCATGGTATCAAATCTTATCATTTGTTATGGATCTTTATTTTATTTTATTTTTGGTGGTGTTGGAGATTAAACCCAAGGTGTTGTGTATGCTAAGCATGTGCTCTACCACTGAGCTACATCCCTAGCCCCTAAAGTTTTTTTTTTGTTTGTTTCTTTGTTTTGTTGTTTGTTTTTGTTATTGTCTTGAAATGCTAGGGATTTAACCCAGAGCCAAATTTTTTTTTTTTAATCAACAAATGCTGAAATTTAGGTATGGAGCTAAAGCAGTGAAAAAAACTGATAAAATTTCATACCTCTTAAAGCTTAAATTCAAACAAGCCTTGTTCTTTCTGTGCCCCCTCCCCTGCCCCAGATCTTATTTTGTGGCTTTTAATAAAATTGGGCTCTAATTTGGAGCAAAATTTTACTTAATCTTCAAGAAACTAAAGGAAACCTAAACTGGAAGTTTTAGAGCAGGAAAGGATTTGACTTCACATCTGCTGGGCATAACTGACAGTGTTCGTGAAGGACACTGGATTCCAGACTCCAATGAGAACAGGAAACAGGGTTTTATTAAGTTGCCTGTTTTGGCCAGGCATGGTGGTGCACAACTGTAATGTCAGCAACTTGGAAGGCTGAGGCAGGAGGATGGCAAATAACATTTTCTCTACCATGGGGAATAGGGTTTGAAGGTCTCAGCTTATTCTGTTCAACCCACTTGGTAACACCACTCCAGGTAACTATATGTCATCTCCCTTATCCCTCCTCTCACCCACCAGTGGGTGTTACCAGGTTTTAGATGGCAAGGGAGTTAGAGTTTGGGCTATAGGCAGTGAACCAATTTCCCCATGAGGAAACCATGACTTGGTTTCCTCACTGAAAGTTGCAGATGATGTGTATAGTTTGTTAAGACAGTACTGAGAACTAAATGAGACACTTATGGAATGTGACATTCAGATAATGATAGCTATTATTATGATTCACAAAGAGGAATCCTTGCTGCCCCCATTATTAAAAATCCAATGTCCCAAGGGGTTCTACACCACAGCCCCTGGAAAGAGAGAGTTTTCATTAAGTCATTTCTATAGCAAAGACTTGCATGCTAGGGGTAGGCTGCAGGAAAATACTGAGAGTGTGACTCCCCATGGACATCCACAGAGAAGTGTCCAGGAGGCACTGATATACAAGTCAGGGTTCAGGGAAAAGTTCTGACAAGCTTTGTGATAAAGTTGGCCGCATAAAGGAAGTAAAGGCAGTTGAGGAGGCTGGAGGCCAACTACTCTGCCTTCCTGGCCCCTCTGTCCTTGTTCTCCATTTCTCTCCATGGATCCTGCCCTGACCTTAGGGATTCCAAATCTCCCTAACCCCCCACCAAGGGCCCAGTTTCACTGATCTCCTCACCCAAGTTCAGCCAGTTCAGTCCAGTCTCTAACAGTTTATTCATTCACTCAGTCATTTATTTATATCAGAAACTTTTCATTGACACCCCCACCCTTTCTTCTCAAGGATGGTGCGATCTCCTTGGAAGAGTCTGGATATGTGAAGGGGCATTTGGTTGTCACAGTAACTGGGCAGGAAGCAAGGGTATTAGGTGTCTTGCACAAAAGAAACTGCCCTCCCAAGGACACCAGAAGCATCTCATTGAGAAATTCACTCCACAGCCAGCTGGCTGGGAATATAGCAGATAATGCCAACATGGCTTTGAGAATTGTGAGTAAGGGGATGAGGAGAGTCCACTTCTGCCCTGGGAGAGCAGGGAGGCTTCCTGCAAGGGGTAACTTATGAGCTATGCCTTGGAGGTGGGACCTACAGACACAGGAGGGGCAGGAAGTCCAGGCAGAGAGAAGCAGTGTGCAAAGGCGCAGTGACCAGTGTTCAGCTCAGGGTTGGGGGTGCTCTGCAAGGGGGCACCCTGGACTGTGCAGGAAGGAGGTGCTGAAGGCAGCAGAGGGAGGTGGATGAGTGGGGTAGGGGAAGCTGTCCTCTCCAGCCCTAGAAATTACTCAGGATGTTGGAGATGATGTCGTACTTGGCTTTCTCATATGCTTCCCTGGCCGCCGGCGGCACATTGCCCAGGAAATCCTTAGCAGGGTCATCATCAGAACGCGTCACCCTGTTGACCTGCAGGAACGATGCTGGATGGTCACCACCATGACTGTCATGGACCGTCCTCTTTCCTGCCCTGCCCGGGGGCCCTCCCTCAAGGCGGGGTAGAGGAGGCTGAGGCACGGGCGGGGAGCATGTGATGCAGCTAAGACGCCCAGGCTCCCGCCCGCCGGGCCCAGAGGCCGTGGGCAGGCCTCGGGGAGAATAGGGGAGTTTCGAGGGATCTCCCGGGCGGAGCGCAGGGCCACGACCCTCTCTCAGGAAGACGGATCCCTCCTCCTCGCACTCTAGAGCTTGATGGGCCAGAGCAGGATCCCGTTTTCCCGGAGCAGGATCCCGTTTCCCCGAGGCTCCCTGCGCTGCGCCAGGGGCCCACGTGGCTGCGCCGCGGTGACGGTAGCACCCGGGACAAAGCCAGCCCTAGGGGACGGTGTACCCACAGGGAATCCAGACCGCGGCTTTCCTGTGGTCCGCCCTTGCTGTCCCTGTCACCACCCGATGGCTCACCGGTGTCGGGTTCTCGAAGACCCTGTCGCAGGTAACGATCAGGAAGCTCACCCTCCGCCTCCAGAATTCTCCAGTGCAAGTTCGCTCCTCCTGCGGCGAGCCGGGCCGGGAGCTGTAAGCGTGCAGCCACCCTCCACGACAGCGCCCCTGCCGGCCCCCAAGGGAGCCGCACCCGCGCCAACCCCACGGCTCCAGCCGGTGAGAACCCAGATATCCTCACACCACAGGCACCAGCCAGAGCCGGAGTGAGGGCCATCGCTGGGAAGGCCCAACGGAGTAGATGATGCCCATGAAAATAAGGGAAGTCCAGGTACGTTATTAATCGGGAAAAGGCATCCGCGAGTTAGCGTGCCCAGAGGAAACCGTGTTTGTTTAGAATATATGTGTGCATAAAAAAAGATACCGAGGAAGATGCATCAACCGTTAGTGACTGTCCCTGGGTAGTGGAGGTTGCTGATCAGAAACTTTTTAGAATGTGAAGTACCAAAATAAGACTTTAAATGTTGTTTTCCAATTTATTTTTTGTAAAGCAATGGTCTCGGGGCTGGGTTGTGGCTCAGTGGTAGAGCACTTGCCTAGCACGTGCAAGGCCCTGGGTTCGATCCTCAGCACCATATAAATAAAATAAAGATATGGTGTCCAACTACAACTAAAAAAATAAATATTAAAAAAAAAAAGCAAGCAGTGGTCTCCCCTGGCACGGTAAGGAAGGACTGCTTGGCAATAGTGTCCTGTGTGGCCCGTCTCAGCGACTCAGGAGGCTAAGGCAGGAGGATCAAAAGTTCAAAGCCAGCCTCAGCAACTTAGCGAGACCCTGCCTCAAAATGAAATAAAATAAAATAAAAAGGACTAGGGATATGGCTTAGTGGTTAAGCACCCGTGGGGTCAATCCCTCATAGCTTAAATAAATAAATAAATGCAGTCAGTAGTCTCGAGGGGGACTATGTTCTTTTTTAGGGCATATTGCTTTTTTTTTTTTTTTTTTAAAGAGAGAGTGAGAGAGGAGAGAGAGAGAGAATTTTTATTATTTATTTTTTAGTTCTCGGCGGACACAACATCTTTGTTGGTATGTGGTGCTGAGGATCGAACCCGGGCCACACGCATGCCAGGCGAGCGCGCTACCGCTTGAGCCACATCCCCAGCCCCATATTGCTTTTTTAATAAGGATTGACAGTATATTGGAGGAAAAATAAGCAACAAGGAAAATCTGACTTTGAAAAAGGCTTGCACATTCAAAACTTCTGGAAAGGTGGGCAGTTGAGATGCATGGAGGCAGACAGTATCCCCTTTAGCCAAAGAGAGGAGAGGGCCTCTCCCCTCACCCAAGACTGGGAGTTGGAGGGATGAGACTCACCCCTCCTTCACGGAAGGCACATTCTTGTGGCTGGCTCCTTGGGGTGGAAATGCATACTGTCTCTTTAATGATGAAGTTGAGTGGGATCCTGGAGGTAAAGTTCTAAAGAAACAACAGAAAACTCATGACCATCTCCCTTTTACAGATGAGGGAATGGAGGCACAGAGAGGTTAAGGTTACATGGTGAAACTGGGACTTAGCATTTGCTACCAAACCTGGGGCTTGTTGAGATTAAATCAGCAGATTTAAGGTGTGCAGTCTTTTGAAAAGAAATCCAAAGAATACCACTCACTACCTATATGACCTCCCTACCTTTGCTTCTTAATATCATTGCCTATGAAATATGAACAAGAACCCCTGCCCTGACCCTCAGCTGCCTGAGAGAGCTAACAACAGCTGAGATGGGAAACCTGGAAACCCCCAAAGGCCAGACTGGTCCACTTGAAAGGGCTCTCACATTCCCCCAAACCCAGGACCTGACCCCCTGCTGGATGAAACACCAAACTGGCCAGCCAGGCAGTGGTCAGGCTGAGATTATAATCTGGTTTTACCTTCAGGTGGAAGAAACATTATAATAATAATAGCTGATGTCAACCACGCACTTTGTACCTGTGCCAGGCACTCTGCCTGCCCATCAGCCTCATGGGTATATGACCCCTGGTGCTTGCTTCCCAGATAGAGCCCACAGACACTTACCGACGGAGGTGGAATGGCTTCCAGCAGCCGGAAGAGAGGCTTTCCCCGCTGCCCACTATTGTAGATGTTCACAGCCCTGTTGACGATATCCTCATATCTCAGACGGCGATGGGCCTCACAGGACACTACTGCCAAGCCCACCACCAATACAAGTGCCTTCCAGTCCCCTGCCATTGTCTCCTCTCTGACACACTGCCACCTTCTGCCCCTTTTAGGTCTCACTCAGGGGCCTTGCCTAAAGGCTTCTGGTAACACACGAGGCTCAGGCCTTCCTGAAAGGGGGGCTAATCCTTTCCTTGGCTAGAAACCAAGTGTTGGGCAATGTTATGAAATACCATTGGCCAAGAGGGGCAAGAAGATTTGGCAACAGCCTAGGGCCTAGAGTGATGTGAGAGCCCTGAACTGGAGCAAGGGACCTTTGTGGTGGCTGGACACAGTCCCTTCACTCTGGGCTTTGTATCTCCACCTGTGCCGCAAGAGGTCCATTCAGAGAGTCCAGTACAGGACTCTGCTGTCTCTATCTGGTAGATCTGCTTTGGTCCCAGAAACAAAGATATTACCCACATGGAACTTGGATTCTATTCCATAATACATCTGCAACTGGATCTTTTTTCCAAGTTAGTAAAACTCTTTTTATTGAGATAAATTTCATGTAGCATAAAAGTCACACATACCCCCTTTTGAGGGAGGGTGCTGAGGATTGAGGATTGAACTCTAGACCCTGTATGTGATGCTTTATAATCCCAGCTCCAGACCTATCCTTTTAAAATGTACAATTCAGAATATTTTCATCACCCCCAAAAGAAACCTTGCACCCATTTGCACTCATTCTCTACTTTTCCCTTCCCTCAGGCTCTGGCAACCCCTAATCTACTTTCTGTCTTTATGATTTACCTACTTAGGGCATTTCATGTAAATGAAATTATATATTATGTGGCATTTTCTGACTTCTTTTGCTTGGCACAGTTTTTTTGTTTCATTTACGTTGTAGCATATCTGTATGGAGTACTCTTTATTCCTTTTTTTTTTTTTTTTTTGTACTAGGGTTTGAACCCAGGGGTATTTAACCACTGAGCCACATCCCTAGCCCTTTTTATTTTGAGATAGGATCTTGCTAAGTTGCTTAGGGCCCTGTTAAATTGCTGAGGCTGGCTTCAAACTTGAGATCCTCCTGCCCCAGCCTCCTAAGGCACTAAGATTACAGGAGTATGCCACCATACTCAGTCTCTTTATCCCTTTTATGGCTGTATAGTATTCCATTGTACAGATATAATACATTGTATTTATCCATTCTTTAGTTGATAGATCTTTGGGTTGTTTTCATGTTTTGGTTATTGTGAATAATGTTGCTATGAATATTTGTGTACAAGGTTTCGGGTGGAGATATTTTCAATTATCTTAGATCTACGCCTAGGAGTGGAATTTCTGATATGATAACTCTATGGTTTAACTTTTTTTAGTTGTAGATGGACACAATACCTTTATTTTATTTATTTTTATCTGGTACTGAGGATTGAACCCAGTGCCTCATGTGGGTTAGGCAATCACTCTACCCCGAGCCACACATAACCCCATCCCCTGGTTCAACTTTTTAAGGAACTGCCAAACTGCTAAGTTTTCCAAAGAGGCTTTATTATTTTACATTCTTACTAGCAATCTGTGAGGATTCCAATACAATCCATATTCTTTGTCAACACTTGTTATTATCTCTTTTTTAAAAAAAATAGTTATTCCAGAGGCTGGGGTTGTGGCTCAATGGTAGAGCGCTCGCCTAGCATGTGAGAGACGCTGGGTTCAATCCTCAGCACCACATAAAAATAAAATAAAGGTATTGTGTCCAACTACAATTAAAACAAAATATTTTTAAGAACAGTGAAGTTGTATTTCATTGTGGTTTCAATTTGTATTTGTATTTTCCTAATGACTAATGAAGGTGACTATCTTTTCATGTGCTTATTGTCCATTTGTATGTCTTTGGGGAAAAATATCTACCCCAAGTCCTTTGCATATTTGCTGTTTTAAGAGACGTGATCTCACATTTTCCCAGGCTGGCCTCAAACTCCTGGAGTAAAGTGATCCTCCTGCCTCAGCCTCCTGAGTAGCTGGGACTACAGGTTCATGCCACTGTGACCAGCTTGCATATTTTAAAATTGAGTTATTTGTTATTTTATTGTTGAATTGTCCATAAGTGTTTTCAGATGTTTTGTATTTCCTTGGGAGCGGGAAACTCCAGTAAAATCAAGATTTGGGGTGGCTCGGGCTGTAGCTCATTGGTAAAGCGCTAGCCTAGCATGCACAAGGTCCTGGGTCCAGTCCCAAGAACTGCCAAAAAAAAGTTTTAGATGCTGCATTGTGTTTCGTTTAGGGACTTTGCAGACTCTAATGCAGGGTTTCCCACCAGTTTGAGAAGCTCACATTATCTCCAGCATTGACAGATGAAGAAAATGAGGCCCCTGGAAGTTAGGAAAGTTGTTCAAGTGACACAGCCAAGACCTGGCTGTAGAATAATGGGAAACTGGGGATCCTAGACTTGGAGGAGAGGAACAACAAGAAGACCTTGATTCTCCTCTTGGTTTCTTTCTTTTCTTTTCCTTCCTCCTGAGTTGCTGAAATCACAGGCATGCACCACTTTGTTTCTGAAAGACAACAAACAAGACAACCAGATTGTTCTACGGCCTTAGAGGACTGGAGCCAGAACCAAAGGTTGGAGAGTCAGGGAGACAGGTCAACAAGAGAGCCCCCTGACAGCAGCTGGACTCACGCATGGTAGAGGCAGCTTGGGAGACACTGAACCATGTCTGGAAAACCAGATGGCAGGAAAACTGGAGGAGACTGGAGGGGCCTCTATTTCCCCTACTTCTTTTTTTTTTCTTTTTTTTTTTTTTTAGTTTTCGGCGGACACAACATCTTTGTTGGTATGTGGTGCTGAGGATCGAACCCGGGCCGCAGGCATGCCAGGCAAGCGCGCTACCGCTTGAGCCACATCCCAGCCCTTTCCCCTACTTCTTTTCCCTTCCAATGAGGCTTTGTTGTGGTGTGGATATGAGGTATTATAGGGTTAACTCCTAGGTTAACCAGGAATATTCAGAGAGGAATTGACTCGATTATGAGAGCTGCAACCTAATCAGTCCTTTAGGCAGGGGGGGTGTGACTGAGGAGATGGGTCACTGGAGACATGTCCTGGAAGGGTTCATCTTCCTTGTGACCCCTCCCCCTTTCTCTCTCTACTTCCTGCCCCCAAGAGTAGAGAACTTTTTCTCTGCCATTTGCCTTCTGCTATGATGTTCTGCCTTACCTTGGGTCCAGACTAATGGAGTTGGTTGACCTCAAACTGAATTTCTGAGACTGTGAACGAAGTAAATTTTCCTCTCTCTAAGTTGTTCTTGTCAGGTATTTTGTCATAGCAATGAAAACCTAACTTACAAAGGCCCTGATTTCCTTTTGAGGATCTGCATGGTTCTGAGTGGAATATTTGACTTAGTCTAAGCCAACCAGTGCCTGCCATCTTGCCACTATACCATTGGTTCAGGGTGGACATGTGATTAACCTGGTCTGATTAGAATACATCTCAAAACTTTTGGCAAGAATACAAGGCTTTCTTTCCTTCCAGACTACATGAGACAAAGAGGATACCTTGTGGTATGAGATGGGCCACTCTTAGGATGAGGTCAACATCACAGAAGGTAGAGGGAGAAAGAAGCAGATTCTTGTCATCACTGAGCTGCTGGGTCACACCTTGCCTGAAGGTGGAGGGCCTCCAGGTTTATTGTCTAAACTAATTTGTGTGAGCTTTTCTGTTACTTGCAACACAAACTTGTAATAAATGTAGGACTCAAGCATCTGATAGCCAGGGATAAGGACTAAACCCTGTTATCTTTATAATTGTATCAAACCTTAAGACTATATAACATGTCCAAAGGCTTGAGGCTGGAAGGCAGCAGAGTTAGCCTTGGGGGCTGAGGTGGGAGGCTCTCAAGTGGATGAAATTTTTTTTTTTTTGGCAGGGGGATGTACCAGGGGCACTCAACTACTGCCCTACATTCCCAGGCCTATTTTGTATTTTATTTAGAGACAAGGTTTCACTGAGTTGCTTAGCACCTCTCTTTTGCTGAGGCTGGCTTTGAACTTGCAACCTTCCTATCTTAGCCTCCTGAGCCACTGGAATTACAGGCGTGTGCCATTGCACGTGGATTTTTTTTAACTAATATTTTCTTTAGTTGTTGATGGACCTTTATTATTTATTTATTTATATGCCAAGAATCAAGCCCAATGGCTCACACATGCTAGGCAAGCGCTCCACCATTGAGCCACCACCCCAACCAGTGTGTGAGTGAGTGTGTGTGTGTGTGTGTGTGTGTGTGGTGTTTTATTTCATTTTTATTTTTTTGGACAGATAAGCTTTAGGAATATGAGTTCAGATGATCAAATTCTGATAGCTACATACAAATCTTTCAATAACTTGTGTTTCATAATCAACCCAGAGCCGTTTCAGAGTACAGCTGTGTGAGCCTTGCCTCAGTTTCAGGGTTCTATTACGATGTCCAGGTTCAAATCCCACCTCTGCCACTTTCTCACTGCTTTTTTAAAAAATCAATCTCTCTGTGATTTGGTTTTCTTGCCTGTAAAGCAAAGCAAAGCTGATATGGGTGGAGACCCTGTGCCAACGTGTGAGGCAGAGGGAGCCTCAGGTGTGGTGGCTTTTACTGCAGCACAGCCAAGACCCCTAGCAAACACCAGTGCCCGCCTCTGCCAAACACAGAGAAGGGGGCTATCATTAACCTGATTTTGCAGATGAGTTCACTAAAGCACCAGCAGGTTATGAATCAGGTTCAGATCCAGAGCTGGCAAGTGGGGAGGATGCGATTTCAGCCCGAGTTAGAATGATCTACTGCAGCACGTTCCCTTCCGAGGAGAGGCTGCAGGGCTGGTCTTGTCTAGTGGCTGAGAGATGAGCTTCCAGGGGTAAGGACAGGATTCCAGGTGTCCAGCAGGAAGTTCCTCCAAGACCTGCCTCCACTGGGGCCAGGTTTAGGACCGTGGATGTCCTAAACACTGGGAATGAGAACTCCCTCCCACACCCAGGGAAGTCCTCTACCTGTGGGAGATGCTGTTCAAGGGAGTGGTCCCTCCACGGGTATCTGTGCCCCTGTGCTCTATACAAGCTCAAAAGAGAG